AGAATTTCGACAACTACAGTCAGGCGCGCTACTTGTTTGTACCCTCTCACGTACGGTTGTTCACTACAGTTGGCAGCGGCAGACATTTTGCTATTCAGAATGCTCGCGGTGGGACGATTGGCGCTTATGCGGGCACGGTCTAGACAGCGAGTGGAGCCTAAAACGTCACGGCGGTTAGCCCTTCCTGTGCAGTTTTGGGGGAGAAAGTGGTATGCTACCTCACCCAAGGCAAGGACCAGGATCTTTGAAAGTGAGTGTAACGTTTGTCTTCGAGCCTTTTTGATGCTCATCTCAGACTTTGGGTATATAATTTGCCGACTGTTCGCCGACCCCGAGTAAGCCTCTCACAATAATATGCTCACCTGCCAGTTTTGTGGTAGCGCCCCGCTTTAAGCAACATCATCTCCCGTACTTCTTCCGTAATATCCAATTTCTGCTTCATTGCCCATTTCTTCTGAAAAGCTTCTAACAATGAGTTGTAGTCCATACTGTTTAACAGGCTGTTTAGGTGTTTAACAAGCTCGAACTAAGGACATTCAGAAGTCCAACTGGATAACTGTAATCTTGTGTCTTGCGAGAAGCGAGGATTTGTTAGTCACTAAAACAAACACGGCGCTCTGTCAATTGGAGAAGGCATCTGTCATGCCACCTCGCCAATCTCATCGAAGCATTCTCGAGATCCTTCGGATTTTTATGTTCTTGCTTGCGAACCGGCCCTAGATTCCTGTCCTTACCGAACTGACTAGTCACTCGGGCAAGCGATAGTGAGCAGAAGTTACCAATTGATTAGATCGTTTGTCGAAGCCGATCACGAACAACGTCTGTAGTAATGTGAAAAATACGAATCCCGTGATGAAACCAAACCAGAGATCAATAGCCTGAAGAAAAGGACATTTATTCCATAAAATAATTTGATAAAAATAAATAAATTATAATTAAAGAAGTAAATAATAGTATCAACAAATACTTAAAAAAAGCGATTCGCAACAAGACCTTAAAAGCTTACCTTCAGATAGGAGACACTTGGTAGATGCTCTCGAGCACCAGCTGATTCTGTGGAAAGGGTAAGCAAAACGGTGATAGCGACACCGATTCGACCCTCCATAAACTCTTCGGGTAGCCAAACCCCAACCTGTAACTGACCAGTATAAAATGTGACTTTCGTGGTTTTGTGGGCCCTATTTGGTGCATGTTCGTTTTTTCACGGTCGATGGACCAAGTAAACGTCAAAAACATTGGTGGAAGACCAGTAGACCATTTCCGTACATAGTGGACTCTCCCGCGGAACGTCTGAAGGGTACTGCAGAGGAATAGTGCTTGAGCCGGGGTGTCCTGCCCCATCGAAAGTGATCGCAAGTAGGTCAGTCTACATGAAAGACTACCAAAAAGAAGCGGATACCTCACCTTAATAACCCCCCCTCCCCTTTTTCTCACAATTGATTAAGGCTTCTTCGAGCACGTTGGTTCCCTCCCTCACTTCATTTCGTAAACAAAAAAGTGTTTAGCGCTCATCACTGATGTTCCGTTCTGCATCGTATTCGGACTTTATCATACACTGCAGTTTACTAAGTGGAGCCGCTTTTTTTGACAAAAAATTGAGAAGGGTTATCAAGGGGGGGGGATCTTGCAGATACGCTACAGAACCTACGACTTGAGCGGAAACAAAAGTAAAGTAGACTTACCCAAGAGAACATCAACGCCAACGAAGTTGGAATGTAAGTTTGAGCGATGTGAAATCCGACGTCTCTCTTGAGGCGGAATACAGCTCGAAGGCAGGAAAAGGCGCCTAAAATAAAAACATTAATTCATGATACTTCTTCCAGCCTCTGGCCTGCATATTCATGGTTAAGACGTGCGCTTCTTCCTTCTTTTCAGTGCTCGTCGTATGTGCGGAGTTGGACTTACGTCACAGTGCGGCGTGGCTGTGCCGCCTTGCCGCAGTAGTCGGTAATGACTAGGTAACGCAGAAAAGCTTAGACAGCGGCTGCGGCTCGGTGACGGTGAAACAGCTGATTTCGATGGAATTCGGCTGCAAATTCCTACTTTTTCAGCTCTTCAAGCTTCTAAAGTGGAAGGTTGAGTTACCAATTTGAGAAGTGTACTGACTCTGAACGTAACGAAAGACCTGTAAAGCGCCATTTGAATAAATGCCTGAAATAAGGCAAAATACAAGGAAAAGAGCATAATAATCGACATAAAAATAAAGGAAATCAGAGCCAGTACAATTCAAAATTGTTCAGAATAACTCATCTTCCACTTTAGAAGCTTGAATCGTTAGGGAAAGTGGGAATTGCAGCCGAATTCCAGTGGAATCCGGCCAACTCAACGTCACGCCACGAGACCGCAGCCGCTGTCGCGACAGTGCGGCGTCGCTCTGCCGCCCCGACAGTACGTAATGATAAGGACTGTACATACAGCTTCTACACTACGTCCCTTCTTCTTAGACGCTAAGAAGGGACGCGCTCAGAGGAGTAGCAACGGTGAACGCCGAGCTCCACGCCCAGAACTTTACAATGGATATCGCAGAAGTAGTTCAGTTAGGTGGGTGTATTAGATATAGTCCCACGGCTGTAACTGGCTCCTCGGTTGGCGCGTGATAGCGAATTCGAGCGGAGATATTTTGCATCTGAAATGGGTCGCACAACACACTGTGCCCCCACCGCCCTACCCGAAACAGGAGAGCTTTGGTGAGTAACAGAAGGCAGAGTTCCTAGCTTGTGCGCTGCAAATCTGATGTAGACAGGTTGTATAAAGTTGTAATCCAGGGTAGCGCATCGTGATGTGTGATATGGTAGTGTAGGGCGACTTCGCCCCCCCCCTCCTAGAAAGAATCTCGGTGCGACCTGCCCGCCCGCCGAAACTTCCTACCGATTCCCACATTTTCGGGTAAAAATTTTAGGCCGCGGAGTATGTAGTACACATAAAACAGGCAAAATCACGCGAAATGTCAACAACCGGGAAAAATTTCCTCCCAACGCAGCAATTTTCTCTCGAACGCACATACGACTCCCCCCTCTCCCAACGACCAAACGACCCCATCTCCCCAGCGCAAAAGTACGACCCCCTATGTGTTTCACACAATGATGCCATACATACCCTGTCTGTAATCTGTCGGGACGGTTTCAAGAGGGCTGGAATGAGCCCACTCGTCGTGTTCAAATTACTGGTTGTTTTCTTCCTAATCGGATTACTAACCGATTATTTGAGGAACAAGGCAACCGAAGGCGGATTCATTCCCCCTTGTGCCTCCCCCACCCCTGTTGGTAACTAATCCTGGGTATGTAATGTGGGGATTGCTAGTCCAGAAGCACGAAAATCGGTCGTCTGGAAAGTTTTCTATGTACATGGTAGGAGGAAGTTTGTTCTTTAGTCCAAAGATCAGTACTGTAATTTCATGGCAACTCACCTGACTTTCTTGTCTTCTTGCACAGTGTTGGTTCATAACGGTCAATATACAGCTCCGGCAGCTTAACATCAGGATTCTTGTCGATGGCGTCAACTCGGCGTGTGAACCATTCGAATCGTACAGTCTCTACGGGATAGGCGACTGGAAGCAGAGAGGATATATTGGCAGAACAATAAGCGGAATCATTATCCAATAGAAACTTGAACTAAGGTGATTGCTACCATTTCTGTCTCAATCACTCCAACACGAGCGTTTTCTCAAAGGAGCGGAATAACTGAGAACTCACAGGACTTGATAAGCAGATCGCAGGTTTGCTTGTCGTGTGGGTACTTGCACAAGATGAGATTGCACGACGGTTTGATCTTGACGCTGCAAATGAAGTTCCATAATAAACTCATTGAGGTCTATGAGATTTCAGGCTGCTCTATAGTCAAAGCGAGCCACTTTTACAGTGTTGCTGCTGCGGGTGCTGGGGTGGGTCAAGGAGCCCCGGTTTGGCCGGCGCCACTTCTTCTCCACCACTTTTTCTGACCAACAACCGCAAACAATTAGTGGGTCCGCTCTTCCGCAGCGAACAGATGTACGTAAGCGAAGACTGCCATTCAGGACTGGATAGAGCTTGTAAAACCAACTGCAAGTAGCTAAATGGCAAAAAGGTGACGCCAGCCGCAGCCCTACTACCACCTTCGCCTGAGTCAGCTTAAAGGCACAGTTCGCGACCGCAAATTGCGGGAAACGGAACTCAAATAGGCACAAAAAAGTGCTAAGTATCTGATTAGCGGAGAAAAGCAGCAGAAAAA